TTTCCACCACCACTTATGATAAAAGAAAGGGACATCCACGGAAGCTGAGAGCCAGTTTGGCGCAGTGGTTAGGAGTGCAGACTCCAATCTGGGAGAACCTGGTTTGATTCCCTACTCCTCTATATGCAGCTGCTGGTGTGACCTTGAGTCAGTCATAAGTTCTTTCAGAGCTGCTCTTTCAAGGGCAGTTCTCAAGAGAGCTCCCTCAGCCCCACCTACCTCACAGGGTGTCTGTTGTGGGGAGGGGAAGGGAAAGGGATTGTAAGCCACTCTGAGACACCTTCGGGTAGTGAAGGGCGGGGAAGACGAAGAAGAAGAGATTGGATTTATACCCCGCCCATCACTTGGAGTCTCAGAGCGGCTTACAAACTCCTATCCCTTCCCCTCCTCACAACAGACACCCTGTGAGGTGGGTGGGGCTGAGAGAACTCTGACAGAAACTGCCCTTTTTCAAGGACAGCTGTGCCAGAGCTTGTGACTGACCCAAGGTCACATCAGCAGGTGCAAGTGGAGGAGTGGGGATTCAAACCCGCTTCTCCAGACTGGAGTCCGCACACTTAACCACTACACCAAACTGGCTCTCACTATGCCAAACTGGCTCTCATAATCCAATCTCTTCTCTTCTTCCATCTTTCCTCCCCCCCACTCCAAACCCTCAGCAAAAGAACAGCAGGAAGTGACGAGTCAACACAAGACTTGCCTCGTATTTCAGGTAGAAAAGGATCCCATTGTGGGACACCAGTCGAATCTCTTGCTCAAAGCGCTTGACGGAACTAATCTGACTCTCAAAGACGATTTCTGCATAGCCCGTGCCGTCAAAATAGGAACCGTCTGTTAGCCAGGGATCGCCTGCTGATTTTGACCTATGAGAAAGGAAATGTAGAAGAAGTTAACATGTCTGCCCAAAGCCTCTTTTTTTTAATCTTTAGAATGCTAAAAATGTTTTTTTTAACGTTCTTGGCCTCCCTGTTGGGAAAGGACAGTACGAGAACAATTCTAAACAGGTCTACTCAGAAGCATGTCCTATTTTATTCAGCAGGGCTTACTAACAGGAAACAGTTCTTAGGATGGCAGTCCTTATCATCTGAAGAGCGCCCAAGACAGAGACCTAAAAATCAGGAGACTGACCACGAAATGATAGATGTTGCCTGAGAAAAGCTGCTTCTGGCAACTGCTACCAAAAACCAGGCTATGATTGGGTTGAATAAAACTCCTACTGGAAATACAGTAAATTGAGGGAACCCCACCCATGCACACAGCTCGAAACAGCACAAAGGATATAAATGCGATCCATCAATAAATGAAACCTTATATGTCTACAGTCGTGGGAGGACATCAGCCTTCGTTACAACCTCCTGTAAAAGCTGGGTTCTAGCCCTCACTGTTTTGCAGAGAAAACGGAAAATGCGTGGGCAGATTCCGCTACAGGGTTATTTATTTATTTATTTATAGAGCTTCCTTGGTGTACATGATGCTTTGCATAGTTGCTGTACACGTGTCTTCTCCATGCACGGAATGAATGAGTGGAGAAAGAGACGGGCACTGGCCCATGAGTGCAGCCAACCACAGGGAGAGGGGCATGGGCATGAATACTCTCCTCCTCTGTGAGCTCAAGTCAGCATGCAAGAGGGGTCATGTGCAGAGGGGTAAAAACAACACAAGCAACAAAGAGAGGCCTTTTGCCCCAAGGAACCTAGCAAGGAAGGCCAGAGACAGAGAGAAAGGAGAGAGACAGCGAGGGATAACAGAAGAGCAAAGATAAGCAAACAAAGTCATGTGACCTTACGATCAGGGGGTCTGAATGAGGCCTGCCAGAATAGGATTCCTGCAGCCCCTGACCCTTCCAAGCCCATGACCGCCACCAGGGGTCATTTTGTAGAAAAGGAGGTGCAGGGGCTCATTAGCATAACTTATTAGCATAACTTATTTGCATATGCCACATCCCCTGACATCACCAGAAGTGTGTCAGAAGGCAACACCCACCGCTCAGGCTCCACTGGACTGTTTTGGATTGCTAGCTATGGTGGGGGGGGATGATGTGCAGATCTGCCCTCACAGAGGAGGGAGAGCTTGTACCTGAAGGCAGGCGGGGGGGGGGGGGGGGGGTGCGCCATTAGCGGGTGGCTGCTTCTTGCTCCTCGTGGCCCAACTGAGGGCCGCTGGGATTAGGGGGTGAGGCTTGTTGCATGTGCCCACTAGGGATGCCAAGTGGGGGTGGGTAAACCTCCGCTTTGGAGGCCCGATTGCCACCGCCACGGAATCAGGCCCCGGGGGGAACTCCGCCCCCTGAAGCGCAGCGTGGCTGCGTCACCAGAGGTGATGCAACCACGTCGATCACGTTGAAGGTGTGGCCCTGATCATCGGAGGGAAAACGCTATGGTTTTCCCTCCGACGATTGGGGCCACGCCCTCAACGTGATCGACGTCGCACATCACTTCCGGTGACGAGGGATAGCTCCCGGAGCGTGGCGAGGCTCCCCCGCCAGTGAGTAAAATTCACTTGGCAACCCTAGTGCCCACCCCCTGGGCTCCTTACTGCCGGAGCTCCGCTCCTGTGCACTCCTGCAGGAAATGACCCCTGACCGTCACCAAGTGCTCTGTAAGTGCTGAGCCATTCTTCTCCAGGGCCTAAGCCACCGATGGACAGACTGAGAAAAGAACAGCTGCCCAACGCACGCCTGATCTTTTGGCTCACCTTGTGCAGGGCCTCTCGGCTGCAGTGTCCAGGTGGAAGGTGCGCTGGAAGTTGTACAGGCTCATGACTTCTTCGTTGAGGGAACCCATCTCTATACAGCCCCGGTAGTTAGGATAGCGCAGGGGTGGAGGAGGCTGCCGGCAGGGAAAAGAAGGGCTCAGATCTGGGGTTTCAATAGGGTTCTATTATTATGGGAAGGCTTCTGTCATTCTAGGGCCAGTATAAGACCACATTGTTTCCGTCAGCTCCTTCCAGTCCAGCCTTGGCTGTGCACGCTCCCTGCTGGTATGACTGCCTGCATGTACTCCACATCCATCTGCCGTGCTCCCCGGAGAATCTCCCAAATCCAACCTCAGTCTTGGCCTGACATCCATGTGTAAGCTGACCAAGACCCTGGTGCCAGATACAGTCAATGGGACTGATGAAAATGATGGCTCAGGGGATAGGAAGTCTCGGGTTTTTGTATAATGCATGCCACGTACACTGCATGATCAGCTTCACAAGGAAGCTCCCCTGGAAGACATCTACATAACAAAGGGGAAGCCTTCACAGAGAAACACAAGAGCTGGAAGGGGATCCCAAGGGCCATCTAGTACAAGGGCCCTCTGTACAATGCAGGAAATTCACAGCTATCTCATAGATAGAATCACAGAGTCACAGAGTTGGAAGGGGCCTGTCATGATCTGGGCTGTGCCACCGGAGGCCTACTAGGCCCAGGGAGCCTGGCTAGCAGTAGGTGAGGCTGGGCCTACAACTCCCAGAAGCCCCTGAGAGGTTTTGGAGCCAAAATTGACCAATAGGAGGGCTTGGAATGAAAGATCTGGTGCAGCAGGAAAAGCTGTTCTTCTTCCCGGAGGGCAGAGCCAGAAGGAAGGCTGCTGCAGGGAAGAGACCCTCATCCTGAGGGAAGGGTGAGTAGTCTAGTGCCACCTGGAATAGTGAGCTAGGCAGAGTATATATTTAGATGCGTTAGGGCATTTATTTTATTTTCACCCACTGTTATAATTCTGCACCTTGTTTGTTTGACCTCTTATAAAATAAACTATTTTCACTGTTCACTCTGCGTGGTCCTCATCATGCCTGTTATTCGGCCAAACGGGAGCTCTGAAAGGCCTGGGAGGGTGCTCTGGGCCTTCTCAGAGGAGCCTGGAATCCAGAGTGGTGGCAGCGTCAGGTGACACCCCACCTGAGCCGTGAGAGGGCCATACAGACCATCTCCAGTCCAACCCCTGGCTCAGTGCAGGATCAGCCTAGAGCATCTCCCCTCCCCCCCCCACTCCCCCAGTGGCCCCCTGCTCTGAGCCCAGAGGAAGGCAAGAGACCTCTCCCCGGGCCAATATGGCCTGGAGGAAAATTCCTTCTTGGCCCCAAAGTGGCCACCATCCATTCATTCGGCGTTACGAGTTTGAGCCACATCATACATCAGACCGGGAGTACAGGAATCTTCTCACGCAGGTACGCCCTGCAAGAAGACACGGCCAACGGCAAACTCTCTGCAGGGTCACGGCCGACTGCAAACTCTCCGCATAATAAAAACGTGTGCTGTGCACGTTTTAAAATGTGAAGAAGAAGAAGAGATTGGATTTATACCCCGCCCTTCACTACCCAAAGGTGTCTCAGAGCGGCTTACAAACTCCTCTCCCTTCCCCTCCCCACAACAGACACCCTGTGAGGTGGGTGGGGCTGAGAGAACTCTGAAACAAACTGCTCTTTCAGGAACAGCTGTTCCAGAGCTTGTGACTGACCCAAGGTCACATCAGCAGGTGCAAGTGGAGGAGTGGGGAATCAAACCCGGTTCTCCCAGATTAGAGTCCGCGCACTTAACCACTACACCAAACTGGCTCTGCAATTTATGAACAAAAAAGATTGCGTTTTTCTTATGCCTATCACAGGTGCCCGCTACGAACGTTACATGCGAAGTTTCCCTCATTTACACTGCAGAAAGTGAACGGGCGGGACACTGGGACTAGCCCTGTGCCGTGCCCAGCCCATCTGTTCTCATCTCACCGTGAAGCTGGAGGGGTAGCCGCCCACGTACAAGACCACGTTGTGGGGCCTGAAGTTGAACAGCCCGTGCTCTCCTTGGGCCACGCTGTCCCCTTTGGTCTCGTGCAAGGTTTGCTTCTCCATGGTCACCGACATGTGTCCGTACTGCAGAATCCTGCAAGCACAGAAGAGCAAGGATGGACTGCATGGCATGAGAGAAAGAGACCTCCAAAGACAACTCTTTTCAGAGGGGGCGTGATAGGGGAATCAGGGTTACAAAAGAAGAGTGTGGAAAGTCCCCAAATTCAGAGCGACTTCTGTCGTCTCACCATACAGAAGTAATTGGCCCCGAGTGTTCTCTTCCAGCAAAGGGCCTCTGTTC